CTTAAGATACTTACAAAATTTTTAACCTGCAGATAAGGAAATTATTATTCTATTAGAATTCTAATTACATAAGATTACCATTTTAATAGAATTCTAATCATGTCATCTCAACTAATTGAATAGTAAAATATTCTAATCAACATTGATGATTACAAGTAGAGAGATTGAGTCTTTTATAGGCTTTAAAGCAACAAACGCAAACAATTTTTAAGGCCTGAATCAGGCAATTTTTTCGTGTTGCAGCAACCGCTACGGATGAAGATAACAGTTAGAGTTGAAACCCTAACCCTAATTAGTACACGCAAAAGACTAATTTACTTTTTGTGAAATTTTTCTTTTTACCTTTTGTACCTGAACACTATCCTCCCCTTGAGCATCAACCTCATCCTCGAGGTTGAGTTGTGGAAATTTTTTCTTCAAGAGTTCCTTCCGTAACAATCTCCTCTAAGATTGTTACCGTTTTACTTAAACAACAGTGTCCTGCGAAATATCAGTCTCCATACTTATAGCAAGTAGTTGTTACTCTTCTCAATTCCGTCTCTCTTCCAACAGTCCGGGAGAGTTGTTTATAATTTTTTATTTTGGATCCTTCAAAAAATTGGACAATTTTCCTAGAAAAATATGAATTTTGGGACATTTCTATCATAGATTGTTCTTATAGCAAGATTTGTTCAAAGTCTTAGTTAAGCGAGTATGGATTAAGCAGTCTTATCATTGGTTGTGGTTTTGGTTTGAGCCCGCTAAGAAAACTGAAAATAAAAGAAATTTCGGAAAGAGTGGGATTGTCGACATTCATTAAATGTGATTGTTTGAAACATTCTTAATACTCCAAATCTTTGACAAAGTTTTTCTATAAAAAAACTTCATTTAAGCTTTTCCACTTTTGCCAACAATCCCTAATACCAAAGCTATATAGCTTAGAAAAAGTGAGGCAACCTCTACCTTTTGTTAGTCTGTTGTTTCGTGCACCAAAAAATATTTATCGCATCTCCGGATCCAGGCACATGATCAATTCCATCAAAAAGTTGAATTTCTACTTTGGGCAGGCTGGACAATTGACCAAAGAGGGGTGAACCAATCCGATTTATAGTGAAATTGGGGGTTTAATTTGATTCAGGAAACAAACCAGGTCAGTCTGGTCCAATGGGTCCAGATCACATTTCTTACCCTTAGAACCAATCAAGCCGGTTTTAGGGTTTTCAATCCCAGAAAATCCTTTATTCACTTCTTTTTCTTTGTGCACGCAGGGAGTCAACAGGACACCCTACTGCTCGCTCCCAACAGCTGAAGTCGGCAGCCCAGAGCTTGTCATCGCCTGTTGCGGTACACCGCCGCACAACAATCCACCAAAATCTTAAATTGCTGTTAAGATTTTTGGTTCTCACGAACTTCAACCACGAGGTTGGCCAACAGCTAGTCCAGCTCCTTCACCGTCAGCTCCACTTGTTCCGCCACGAACACCGCCTTTCCCTTGGATCTAGGAAGCAAATTGACACTGACGAAGGATTTGGCCAGCCCCAGCTCTGATACCATCTTATTAGCACTCTTAGACATAGTGATTGAACTTGAGAAAAAGAAGAGGAAGAAGAAGAAAGAGAGGAAAAACAAAGAAGAGAAATCTGAGAGGTAATTCTATTTCTTCGTTGATGATTACAAGCATAGATATTGAGTCATTTATAGACTTTAAAGCAAACGATTTTTCGGCCAAAATCGCACGGCCATTTCAGGTTGCAACAACTGTGCAGATGAAAATAATAGTTAGGGTTGAACCCTAATCCTAATTGGTACACGTAAAAAACTAATTTACCCTTTTTGTAAATTTTCTTTTTTATCCTTTATATCCTGACACAATATAAGGAAACAATATTACTTATAAACATCATAAAAATCAGGATATATTATTAATATGTCTTTTACCCTAGTGTAACTCTAATGTATATTTCTTACACTCCCCTCAAATTGGTGAATAGATGTTCTCCATTTCCAGCTTAGTAATAATCGTATGAAATATAAGATTACTCAATCTTCGATCAATATGTCAGCAAGTTATAAAGTAGTGGGCATATTGGAATATATATCAACTCACTATTAAATTTTCCTTTAATGAAACATCTATCTATTTCAATGAGCTTACTTCTATCATGTTCTAATAAATTGTGAGATACTGATTGCTGACTTACTGTTGCAATAGAGTCTCATAGGGTCATTTCACTAAATCTCAAGTTTTCCAAAATCATCTTAAGAGCTCACACGTCTCCTAAGCCAAACCAGAACTCTAACTCTGTACTAGATCGAGTTACCACAATCTGCTTCTTAGTTCTCCAAGTCACAAGATCCCCTCCAAGAAAGGTACAATATCCAAACATGAATCTCATGTCAACTAATGATCCGGCATAGTCTGTATCCTGTAAAGTGTATGCTTCAAGAAGCAGCCCATTGTTTCTTCAGAACATCATTCCCCTCCCTAGGGTACCTTTCAAATAGTAGAGTATTTTGTAGGCAGCTTGTAAGCGCGTTTCTTGCAAACTGATTATAATATACATAAATAAACAGACACACAAACACACACACAGCATTCATCTAAGCAACAACTGGCACAGCAAAACTGACATATTTTTGCAAAAGATAGATTGTTTGTACCTGGTAACAAGTGCGATCATATGACCATTTGAATTGACAACAGCACCACCACTACCACCTGGATGGACAGCAGCTGTTGTTTCAAGCATTGCAGGAAGCTCTAAACCTCTTTTTAGGATGGACTGATAAAACGGAGGCATCTTTGCTTTTATTATCTTTGCCACAACCCCAGAGCAAACAGATGGAGAAAATCCTGTACAGTTCAATGTAGAAGCAGAATTTTAATAAATGAAGAAAGAAAATTGTGAGAAGTAGCCACTCTCTGTAATTTACTCTAGAGGTTGACTTTGCAACTCCAGCACAGACAGATGGCCACTTTCTGCCATTAATTGTAATAGTTAAATACATAGGAAAATGCTATAGAAAGTGTTGAACTTTACCAAATAGCATCAGGAAGAAGTTGCATTCCTACGAGGTATTTATATCAGCTACCAGACCAAACATCTTATTAACTAAGTCGAACAGTTACGAGATTCAACAGACTCATTTTATGCAGTAAACAACTTAAATGTCCAAAAGGCTAAGAGCATTTATAAATTTTTGGTATCCATAAAAAGAATATATGACTCCACCAGAACTGCAGAAGCCACTAAATGTCCAAAAAGGTTCTCTATTTTCTACTGCACAGGGCTTAATAAGCAGAAAAATATAAACCAACACCTAAATACATGCATATATAGGTGTGCGAACTTCCTTGGCCTATGCCTAAACAAAACCCATACAACATGTATAAAAGCATATTAGAATAATATTTTTTGCATATAGCACCAAGTTGAGAGTGGGCGATCCGCATTTTGTTTGGAAGAAACCTTGGATTGGTTATCTTCCTGCAGTCACCCTGCTTCCTCTTCTTTATAACCATCTCATCACCATAACACTCCTACATTCTACTATTCATTGGAATATGTTCTTCCACAGAAACCTAAAAGATCATGAAGCTGTTGATACACTCTCTTTGATTCAATTTCTTCATTCAGTTCTTTTTTGCTTCAAGACCTGATCATAGAGTACAGACCCGGCCTTTTTAAAAAAAAAAATACAAGACTTAACCATTTTTCCCTGCAAATCTTGCCTTGCCTTTTTAAACCATAACCTAACTTACGATTGTGTTATTTCTTCTCTTCGTGGTGTTGGATAAAAGAACAAGATAGTTTGTTCTATAGCAGCATAGTTTGTTGAGTTGAGGAGGTTGTAGCTAGTGAGGAATTCAGTGATTCTTTAAGGATCACTTCTCTCCTTATTTGCTCTTTTGTATAGATCGACTTTTTTGGTGGCTCTTTGGTCCAAGGTCCATGGCCTATATAAAGATATAGAAAGTTTGGCAGGTAATTCTTCATAGAATTTTCTCTAACCGTGTTATGGGTTATTTGGAAAGAAAGAATCTTAGGGTCTTTGATGGAAAAGAAAACCCGATGTATAAATTAAGAGATAGGCGATTTCATGTTTTTGGGTTGGGTCTATGTTCATGGGACGTGACATTGTTAGAGATGAAGATTTTAGGTTTGTCATTGATACCCTAACTAGAATGTAAACAATTGTATATAGGTGGTACCCCTTTTTTCGGTGTCTTGTGAATATATACTTCTTAACTTTTTATTAAAAAAAAAAAAAAAAATTATTTTTTAGCCCAGACCTTTCTAGTTTCTTTTTTTTTTTTTTTACTTTTTTCTTCTGAAACAGAGAAGGGACTAGTCCTCCTCTCTTGTATCCTTCTTTTCCTCTCTAATAATATTATTCATTTTCTAATATATGTATATATATGACATTAAAAAAAGCCAAAACAAAAATATGAAGCGCGAAGGACTTACCACATCTTGGTCCAAACAATCCGTGCCCAATAATATATGCCTTTGATCCTAAAGAAGGATGCTCAAAATTTGTAGTAATAGGAGAAAGCTGATGAGGAACATGCTCAAGCTGGAGTAACGCAACATCCAGAGGTCCTTTAGAAATATATACTACTTTAGCATCACACCAAATCCAAGGATTCTGATGATCTAAACGAACGCGTATTTTTCTGTAAGCACTGTAAAAGTTATTGATTTTATGTTCTCCATGACCATCAGCCATAGAAAAACCAGCATTCTTTACTTCTTTCTTTGGAAATTCCAGACCCTTCTGGTAGTTGTCAATCCCAAAATTTCCAGGAGAAGATCCCTCAGACTGGAAGGAAAGTGCCTCGGGATTGTTTCCGTTTTGTCTACCACTAACTGTTGTTTTTCCAAATCTCCATGGTTCTAGCAGGTGAGCATTTGTAAGTATAAGCCCTTGATCATTGACTACAACACCGGATGCCCACACACCATCATTAATGGTAATAAGACAGATAGATGCCATTGCCTTCTCAACTGGCAGATCTGGGTGGAAACAAGCATCAGAATGCCCATACTTATAATAGCAAGGTCCCATTGCGTCAAGGCTGTTAGACAAAATTTTGTTCCCTACACCATTTAAGTTTCCCTCGTTAATATGGATCCCATTTTCTGCATTTTGAGGCTCCTTCAGCAGCAAGTCACTGCAAGCAGTTGCAATGGCTTCCCACGGAATCACCAGCTGTTACCCAAGGCTACAGTTTTGTATGATGCATTGACAATTAAAAAGTTAAATTATGTTAAGAAAAAAAATAGAATAAGCACAGCAATCTACCTGAATTTCAGCACCATCATTCTTATGCCTTAATGGTCTAACCAAAATACCAACAAATTGTGCGTGTTCACCAAAAACTGGACAACCTTCCATTCCTGAATGACAATTTGAAAGCATAAACAGTTTGCAGTTGCATCAAATTTCAATGAAGCACAGTTATAAAACTACAAAGAATTACTCGCACCAGGTAGACAGCGTATGTCAGCCATCAACAATGATCCCTTTGATGATCCAGGTGGATAGCAGTTGGCAATAGATCCTGCTGACATGCTGGTCCAAGCAGTTAAAAATAGCAGTTTAAAGCACTGAAGGAGAAAGCTACAGAAAAGAGTGAAACTATTTACCAAATGAATCACAGAGAAAACATAGCTAATAGTTTGACTTCGAAGGAATGAAATGTTAAATCTAAAGGATCAACAGTTTCAGTTTTGAACTACCCATTGCTTATACTTAGGCAGAGAGAGAATTGCTGCCAATGTGGCTGTGTAACAACAATAATGTCCCAACTAAATAAAATCTAAAATCAGAGCTGTATAACTTATTTCCTTGCAAGTCCTAATGACACTTAGCTGCTGGAATGTTACGTGTTCAAGATTCTATATCAAAAAATATTACAGATGATACAATCTTCTCAAATTGAATCTTATGGATGCCATCTCTTCTTTGAATTATTTCACAATCCATTTTTACTCATATTTTCAGTTGATATGGCTTAACCTACAGCTATCTCCAAGACACAAGACAAGTCTTCCCATCAACAACTTGTTTTTTTCTTATTGAAGAAAGTATCTGGTGAATAAAATTAATTGATTTTGATGAATATTTTCGTATTAATGATGCTAATTAAGTTTTAAGCTACCAAACATGGTGTGACTCAAGAAAATGGAACGAATTATGAAAAACTACAAGGGTATCAACAAGAAGAGAAACACATTAACAACAAAGTGTAAATCTCCTTTAGCATTTGTTTATCTTTTATCTATAAAAAAATCTTCTATGTAAATTAGATAACTCATGGTTGACTTAAGTGATTTTCCTTTTGACTTTTTCAGTCATAACAATCTCTTTGAAAAATGTGTTTATATTTTTTTTAAAAATAAAAAGTATGAAAAATATTCTTCACAAAGGTACCGATAGGGTACCACTCATTTACAAAAATTTACAGTTTAGTTAATATATCTATAATATTCCCAGAATCCTCCACCTTGTATACATCATGCCCTAAAATCAAGGACCCAAAAAAATGAAACCATCTATTTCTGATCTTAGAGATCCCCCTCTCAATATCTTCAAAAGGTCTATTGTTTGCTTCTTTCCAGATCACCCAAATAATAGTAAGGGGTATAAGCTTTACAAATTGTCTTTTCTTACATAAACCTTCTCAAGCTCAAATCTCTTCCTTTACAAAACCCCAATAGCTCAATTAATTCCAAGCAGCCAATAGATCATCGTCCAAGGTTCATAAAACATTGGACACCAAAGAAGAATATGATTACAAGATTTAGCTGCTTTCTTGCACAAATAACATCCGTTCACCATAATTTTTCCTCTAGCCATTAGCTTATCAATTACTAGAATGCATTCACGACACGCCTCCCAAGCAAAAAAGCAACCCTAGGAGGTGCCCTTGTCCTCCAAATCTGGTACACCAAGAAACTGGAAACACCTTCCTGCTCTCTCCCCACCAAGTAATTGTAGTAAGACATAACAATGAAGTTCTCCTCCTGATATAGTTTTCACATAATTAAGTCCCTGTCGTCATTAACATGCACTGTGGCGAGAAGTTGTAGCAATGCTTCATATTCTTCAATTCCCCAATCATTTAAATTCCTATTCGCATTTACAACCCTTCTCTATGACGTAAAACAAGTAGTTTTACGTTCTCACACGTCACAAGATGACATCTCCTTTTTTCTTCCTCATCACCCCACAGATATCAACTCGTATAGCTTCCAATCTTCCTGCAATTTTCACTGGTATCGCTAATGTAGACAAGAAATAGATGGAGAAATTGGTTAACGTGTTTTTTATTAAGGTTAACCTATCTCCCTTAAGAACATTTCTCTTTCATCCAGCAAGTCTTGTCTCAAATAATTCAATTATAGGTTCTCATGTTCTTACATCTTTATATTTAACCCCCAGTGGTACACCAAGATATTTGATTGGTAGATTAATTGCCTTACACCCCAACACTCCTGCAAGCTACTCTGCGCCTCTCTTATCACCAATTCTTACCAATTCAGACATTTTCAGGGAAACGTTAAGACCCGAAACAGCTTGGAAGCATAGAAATACACACCTTAACTTCAAAAGCCTCTTCTCCTCCGGTTGATAAAAGATGAGTGTGTCATCCGCAGAGAAAAGATGTGAGATCTGGATCTCGTGGTCACCTCTTTCCACCTCAACACCCCTCAGAAACTCAACGCCTTAGCCTTCTCCAATAAGTCGTTGAGAGCTTCCATCATAATGATATATAAAAGAGGAGACAATGAGTCGCCCTATCATAGACCTCTGGATACCTTAAAGAATGTCCCCTATTAACTAAAACAGCAAAATAAGTAGTAGATACGTACCAGTACATCAATCTCCTCCACTTATGTCCAAACCCCATTTTCTCCAACATATAGTCCGCAAATTCCCAACTCACATGATCATACACTTTTTCTATATCTACTTTACAAAGTAGCCCTTCCCTCTTGCCTCCCACCAGCGCGTCCACAACTTCATTTGTCACCATAACTGCATCCAAGATCTGTCTACCTTCAACAAAAACATGCTGACACTCCCCAATCACTTCCCTAAGCACCCTAGATAGTCTTCTCGCAAAACTTCTGGTATTAGTTTGTATATACAAGCTACTGAACTTATAGATCTGAAATCTTTTATATTGTTTGCACCTTCTCTTTTGGCAATAAGTACTTAGAATGTTGTGTTCAAGGATTTTACAAAAGTTTTGGACTCATGTATCTCCCTAAACAACTCCACCATTTCCCTTTCAATGGCATGCCAAAATTCTTGTAGAAAACTCGTGTTGAAACCATCCAGACTTGGGGCTTTGTCCCCATTACAACCTCTATGTTCTTCAAATATCTCGTCCTCAGTAACTCCCGTTCCATCTAGGCGAGGTCTTCTCTCAACATCTTCCTTATACAATCGGTAAAAATAATTTTTTACTTCATTTCTCATGCAATCATTGCCTCTAACCTGTTTTTCATCAATAGTTATTTCTTCTATATAATTGCACATTCTCTTGTGACTACCCAAACAATGGAAATACTTGGTGTTTTTGTCACCCTCTTTTAACCATTTTTCTCTAGATTTCCACCTCCAACTAATCTCCTCCAGGTTGAGATTGCGGGCCAGATCTACTTTCAATGCTTCTCTTCTCTCCGCCTCATCCATAGATAGTCCCTCTTCTCCTTCCCTTGTATCAAGGTCTTCAATACTTTTTAATACGTTCTCTATTGCCTCATTTTCTTTCTCTTTTTCCTCCATTGTCCATTTTCTAATAGCCTCTTTCAAAACTTTCATTTTGCAGGATATTATGTAACTTGCCTTCCCCTAGACCATTGTTTCTCTCCACTTTTCTTCAATCATATCCTGAAACTTTTCTACCCTCAACTATTTATTATCCAATCTTAAAGGGGTGGGTCCCCATTGTATTCCATCCGCTTCTAGACATATTGGAAATGATCAGAACTTGTTCTTTGTAGTATTTTCTGGCAAATACCTGCAAGATGTGAAAGAAGAATAAATGAGATTAAAAACCGATCAATTTGTAAACATGAGGGTCTGCTCCTCTGATTTATCCATGTTCATTGTCCCCCACCAAAGGCAAATCCACCATATCTAGATTATCAAGGACATCCTTAAATTCATTAGTCCAAGTAGTAGAGAAATTATCACCAGATCTTTCATTTCTCCTTAACACCATATTAAAATCCCCTCCCACTACTCAAGTGCCACCCTATCCCTACTTACACCAACTCCCTCCATAATATATTCTTCTCAGTAATATTCCCCCTACAATACACCCCTGTGAACACCCACTTCATCTGATACGAAACTCAGGATCAACTAACTTGATCAAAAACTCCGCATATAACATCAGTTATTCAGAATCATAAAATCCTCAACAAATCCTCCTTACTTAACCTACATTCAACACGTGAATGTCAACCAAGGTAATCAAGATGATTATTTGAAATGATTAAATGCCGCAACGTAGAATCTTGATAAGTGAAATCAATTCAATAGGGATTGATAAAACGTCACAAGAACTTATCTTAATAAGTTAAATCAATTCTCACTCAACAAAAAGGTTGATGAAAGCTAATTAGTTGAAAACTAAAACTTCATAATTTTATTATCTTCAAACTTGAATGATTATAATTGTGAATTGAAAATCTATTTATAAAGTAAGTCATACGCATTATAAGAAAATAAATCTTCTAAATTAATGGTAAAAATTATAAGAAAATTAAATGTTATCTTAAATGATAAAATAATGAAAATTAATAAAACTTTGACTAGAATAGTCTATATAGGATATTATCTTTTTAAATGAGAATATTTTAATTAATTGTGAAAGACTTAGGGAAAATAAATATGGTTAATTAAGATTGGTCATCAAATGAGCAAAGAGGTCACTCATATTTTTCCTAAATCGTGGGATTTAGTTTTTTAAAGAATGAGATTTAATTTTCTCTTCCTTTAAGATATCACATGGTTTAGGAAGAAATCTTTCATATTAGCTGATTCTCCCTTTAAAGAAATTCTTTTCCCTCTCCTTGCTCACGTCACCATCCCCCCCTAACAATTCTGAAAAACACATAATAGCCCCTTCACCACCTCCTTATATCTGACACTCTCCTCCCTGCACAAAACAATAATACCTCTAGTCATACATCTTGTAGGAATATAATGTCATCCCACATCTTTCATGCTCCAAATACTTTTCAAATCTTTATCAGTACATGTTTCCATTTTTTATTTTATTCCCATATACATATAATATTCGGCTTCCATCTATTCATACATCCCTGGATAACTAGTTTTTTTTCCTTATCATTTGGACCCCTCACATTCCATGATATAATTTTACCAACAATCAAAATTTCTCATTAATGCCCCCTATCATCTTCATTTCCTTCCTCCAGCAGTCATAATTAATGGCGGACCGCAGTCTCTTCAATTCCTTAGGAGTGTCTTCATCCTATCTCTTCCTAACCCTCATTGCCAAGTTTTCCCCTTTTTCCTTCATTATCCTCCTCTTTTCAATTTCAGCAAACAAAATACATACTTGTTCTTCAATTCCCTCAAAAGTAACTAGGAACTTCCTACTAACACGTCAGACGTAATGCAACAACCCTACAAATCTACATTCTTCCTCATCTCCCTCCATGCCCCGAGCCCTCTCTATACTAGATTCATTCCGTCTCCATCCATTGAAATTGCTTTCGGAATTTTCTCCTCCACTAGGACGATAGCCAACTCCGATTCTCTGCTGCCATTGCTTGTCTTCTTCCTCTACTCTCACCATTAACTCCAATCCGTTACAACCCTCCTTCATCAAACCTTCAGCATCAATCTTCACTGAGACTTCATCATCTTCTCCTTCATTCCTAACTGAATCGCCACAAATAGGCTCGATCTGCACCTCAGTCACTTTTTTGGCCATTCTTTGCTCTCCCTCGCACTGATAGTCTTCGGGCATGCCCTCTTTCAAAACCGAGATTCACCTCGAGTCAAATTCTTCCAGACCGGCCTCCACAGCCATTTCACTCTCGGGCTTTTCTTCTTACGCCGCTCAAGTTGCAGCCCATCCTCCACAATCCACTTTCCCTTTTCCTCCCATGTGAAACGCCTCTGTCCAGTTGATTTGAATCTTCTCGTTCTTCCTAAGTCCAACACACCCGACCAATCTCTCTCATTTAATTCAAAACAGTGCCTTATTCTTGCATTTTAGTTGAAGTCTATGTCTTTTAAAAAAAAATAAAATCAACCCAACCCGTTTTCAAAATGGGTCACGTCTACCCTACCCGGTACTCACCTTCACTCCTATTTGCAGTGCCGCCGCATTGGTCTTCTTCTCATTAACCTCCGTCGTGAAAAAGTCAGCTCCACGTAGTGAGGCACTAAAAGGATTCCATCTTCGGCTCAACTCCATCTCTTTCCACTCTTGTGCTCAGTCCTTCTGCTACTACCTCTGCCTGCTTCCTATCTGGGTTTACAATCAGGCTATTTGCGAGTTCATAAGCCGACTTCATTATCCGCCACCATCCACCCGCTTCCGCCCCATCCAGAATAAAAATACACTTCACCTCTCTTCCTTTCTCCTCCATCATCACCAAGTATCTCCCCCTTCTATTTTGGCCAAGGGAAATCCAGAGATTATGGTGTCGGCCTGTTATGTGTCTTCCCCACGTCTTTCTCCCTTTTCACCAATAAAAATCTTCAAATTCATCTAGCAACCATATCACATCTTCCTCATTCAAAGAGAACGATATGCGAAATCCTCTTCCATTTTCACTAACTCTTAATCCCGTCATTCTTCTTCCTTCTCGGACCAGGTCGAAAGACTTATTATCAATGGACAAGAAACTTCCATCCATTATGCTCTATACTAATGGTGAAAGTTTAAAATTGAAATATTGTGTCAAAGATACCTCAAAGACAATGAAATTTTCAAGAAAACTTTATTTAATGTGTTGGCAGATATGATTTTAGGAATCACTTTCTTGAAACAAAGGATATTACCTTAAGTGGCAGGTGCATTATAAAAGGTGATACACTAAAATACTTTTTATAATACATAAAGAGGATATTTTAGCATTAAATGTAATTAGACATGTGTTTTCTTTTATATCACACCATAACTCAAACAACCTTGAAGTTAAACTATCTTTATTAACGTTTAATATGTCAAAAATTGTAATTTTCAAAAGTTATGTCATAGATTACACTGTTCTAATATTAAACAGCTTTTATTAAGGTTGGATATGTTAGAGGATGTGATTTTCACAATCGAGTCTAAGATTATACATGATTTAAAATAGACTGATTGTTAAAGTAAATGTGATTTGCGAGATCATGCCACACAGAAACTCATGCATTCTTAAATAACACCATTCCAACCCAATCTTCAAAACGCCTCCAACGGATAGCTTTAACTTTCATATATTTAAATAATTCTTTCCTACAAGTTTACATAAATTTTTTGGAGGAAATACATTTCAAAAAAAAAGGGAAAAAATCTTATTCTCTTGATTCTCCATCGAGTCCTAAGCGTATTTTTCACTTATAAATCAACTATGTGAGAGAGTAATAATCTATTGTTCCATATCTCTAAGTATTCTAAGATAGGATTGAGGAGACCTTTGGGGAGTTCTTATGTTGAGGATACACAAGTGTACGGTGTGCTAGGCACTAAGACTTGTAACAAAAAATCAGAGGAGAACTTTACTAGAAACCAGAGGATAACCCTATAACAAAGGACCCAAGGTCTGGAATCATCTATTCTTTAAAATATCAAAACCATTAACATCTTCAACCCCCAGCATTGAGACTGCTTTATTCCAGAATAATTTAGAAATAGAAAAATCTGAATGACAAATAGAAAAATAGAGTTAGACCAAAGAAATTGGAGATAGGTGAAGAAATATACAAAGAAGTAGACTGAATGGGATAGATTATGAAAAATAATAGCGGGAAAAAACAAAAACAAAGAGATAACAGGAAATAAAACCCCAAGAATTCTTAATTCATCATCATTCGTTTCCTTATTGTTTACAAATAATTGCCTTTACATATACATTAGTTGCAACTAATGTATAAATAAAATATTGAAATAACCAAAGGAGGACATCAAACTTCTACAACATAAGTTTTTAGTAACTTAAAATCTTACCAAATAGGCCATATGAATTAGAGATAATAATAATAATAATAACAATAATAATAACAACAACAACAAAATTTCTTTAATAAAACTTTTCAACTAAGATCTTGTTGTACATCACAATGTATAGAAAATGATAATGAAATTGTGACATGAGTTTATTTTTTTTAAGTTGTTTAAATGTTTCCTAAAAGCTAGTTAATTTATGTTTGACTATCATATAAATGCATTCCTTTGTATAGGTTCTATTTATAAACATATATGAATGTAGAAATAGAAATTATAACATATTTATTGGCCAAAGTTCTAAAATCATTCACAATGCTGTAACGTCATGACAATGTAATAATTTTTTTCCTTTCTTTTGATCAAAAATCATTTGGTGAAATAAAAGAAAGGAAAAAAATTATTACATTGTCATGATGCTACAGCCTTGTGAATCAATATCTTCTACCTATTTCAACATTAGGAGATCTGAGGATAGAATGCTAGATTATTTCAAGAGGAAAATAGTGCCTTCAGTTTACACCACATCATTTATATCAATCATCCACCCAGATTCCAGTCTACATGTAACTACAGCAGTAGAAAGCATTACCTGTTGAAGAAGTGCACTGGTGAGAGTACACCAAAGGGAGAACCCACGGCTAGAAGAAAATCTCCACTTCTATTCAAAGGTGATATGGCAAGATTTTGCTGACCCTGATTCCCAGGAATCGACAAAATAGTTGAAGAATGTAGTTAACTGTGGCAGCAGTTAAACTGTGTATTAATATGAAAAAGACTGAAGAAAACTTTACCTCTAAACCTAAAGACAACCCAAGAACAGCTACTCTAGTAGTTGACCTGCCCATCACACTTGGATTGCGTGATTCCCTCAAAGAAAAATGTCTCTGCCTCTCCATGATAGATTTGCTTTCATGATCAATCTAGAATATTGATTTAACTACTGTTTTTAATATGTGAAAAAATCTTTGACTTCAAAAAGGAATCAAAATACTACGACAAATTCAGCAGCATGCTTTTCTTTTTAAAAAAAAGTAGAGCTTAAAAGTGAATTCGATAGAAACTATTTGTTTACTGCCAGTCATGATAGGTTTCAACTTCTTTCAATAAAATAAATTTAATTCTTGTAATTACAAAGCAAAGATAAATACTTATTAAAGAAGAAAAAAAAAGAAAGAAAGGAGAGAGATGACTGGCTTATAGGAGGTTGCCCCAGAGTCAAAAAGATGATTCATGCCAACAGGAGTATCAACAATATCTTTGGTCAGCTAATTGTTAAAGGACATAGAGAACCAAATAACAATGCCTTTTTTTGATAAGATGGAATTGTACATAAAGTAACAAACCAATATATCCAGCCTGCAGTTACCAAGAATGCATAGTGCAGAAATAATAAAGATAATATGAGTCCAATGTGCTGCTATTTATGCTGTTTATACTATTTTGTCTTTACTAGCATCCCTTTCAGTAGTATATCTTATCCGCTGTATTTGTATGTCTCCTTCTCATTCTTGATAATATTTCTGTTTCTATCCAAAAATAAAAGAAAATTAAGATAATATGAGTTTCCCAGAGATGGACAGCAGTATTCATCGTTTCATTTGAACCAACAATAGTTCAATACTTCCAAAAATTAGAATACACTAACTGTGAGAAATATATGTTTTGAAAGAATACCAAACTCACCGGAGTCCGAATAATGTCTATTGAAGTCTGCAGATCATTATCATATGAGGCCAATGACCAACCGACCTCCCATCCATGCTCTAGTGAGCTTGAAGAAGCTTCAATAAGAGATTGGAGAGCAAGGGAAGATGCAGGGACATCAACCTTCGTAAACATTGATTAATCAGCACTGAAAACAAGTTTGCATTTGGCTCTTTAATTATCAAGTGAAACAACTTCAAGACATAACTAGGAAAGAAATGCATCATAAAGTATCATATGCACAATGTTTCAAGTTTCAACATTTTCGACAAAGTTACAGAGCAAGACACTCATAATAGAAGAGTGTCATTCTATGAAAACTGGAATCACCACCAAAAAGACAGTATTGAATCAACTCTAGAATCTCATGAGATGCCAAATATCTTGATTGGATTCAGGTGCAAATTTCCCATATGGTTATCGTGTTTGACCTTATAATTGTTATAGTCAAAGATAAAGGGACTCGATCAGCAAAAGCCCAATCTTGGATGAAGACAAAAGGACTACATTTATATGAAAATATAATAAAACTAATATAAGCCTCTTAGAAACTAAGATGACATCATATGCATAAAGAATACAAACTATAGCACGAAAAAATAGCATATTCTTATTTGCAGTGGAAATTAAACAAAGAAAAGGTTCATACTAATCAGTAATGTATGACTGGTTAAATATTTATTATTCAAAATATTCAATTTTAGATATGCAAGAACCAACACAACCATTTTGTATTCTTTTTCATCTTCTAGCCTAAAAGCATTCATCAACATCTTCATATCATCATATGTGCTAACTGCTAGTTTGACCAACAAAATGTCCGAGATGGATACGAAGTGTCAAACACAGATCCCCATCCCCAACCATATACTACCTTGTGTCAAACACAAGTCACCAAAATCAAAGACTCCAAGCAACATAGAAGACAACAGTTCCAAATATTAACAATCCCCACTCATTTAGAGCCATTTGTGGAGGTACCTTGCATTAACAAATGTGGCTTACTAATTCATATAACCTACCACAACACAGATAGTAATAAGATTTTGTGGACAAATAGTGCATTACAAGCTAACAAAGAGTTCTTTTTCTTTTTTAATAAATATCTGCAGTTGACACTTCTGTAGTGAAAGTTAAAGCTCATATCCTAATTGATTGTCCTTTGAATTTTTAGCTAAGGAAAGTCAAGAATGAATGTCTCTTAATGCTCCAATCCTTGAGAAATGGCAAGGTAAATACTAACCAGTGACACGAGTTGAGCAGCAATCCAACAAGGAGCTTCTTCCATACTCACTTTTCCCTGTAAAAAAGATAACTTAATTAATCATTCCCAAACCTAAAAATCACCTTCAATATTTAAAAGCAAGCATATTATACCTCCACCATTATATCAATCCGAGCACCCGGAATCAACTGTGGGTTACCCTGAAACAAAAAAGTAGCAGCAACATTGTACTCACATAATCAATAAACAATACAACTAAAATCCAATCTACAACATCTTCTACCTGAGACATGTTTTCTCTGTGCTCCGCAGACAGAAAAGGTTCTACAACAGATGCAACAGTCACAACCAAGGCCAAACTCTGACCGCTATCACAATTTAAAACACGCTTAGCCGCCTCAGAACTATAAAGAGCATCGGGCAATAGCATCCCAGAAGCTGAAAGTGTTGTTTTGCCAGAACTACATAATACCCATAAAGAGAAAACCTCAATAAAACGCAAAACCAAATAACAAAAAACACAGGGTTGTGATTACATAGTCAAAACTCAAGGATTTACTGACCGGTATTGATGAAAAGCATGTTTCCTCATCTTCAGACCCTTCGGGTCCTGAAAGGAATGAAAGCAATACTCGCCATAGTCAACGGCCAGATGGAAAAAAATTGCATTAACATGAAAACAGACATATTTTGGCATACAATTGATGTAAGAAAAAGAGAGAGAGCGAGAGATTTACAGGGCCCTGAACTTTGACCAAGACAGCAAAATTCCGGGCAAAGTCGACGATTTCGGGCAAACCCATTGTAGAAAAATCTTGATTCGCTTGCAGCGAAACTGTTATCAGGTTTAAGGACTCCTTGTTGCAGAGGAGGAGGAGGGAAAACAGAGTAATCTGCGATTTAATGAAAGGAGCTGGAAGTTTTGCTGCTCTCGAGGCTTAGAAGATAAATGAAGGAAGAAAACGAGCTGTCTAAAGGTAGGCCCGTTGGCTCCTGATTTCTCGGTCGCTGAAAGTGAGTAATGATTTATTTATATTCATAAAAATATATTTTTTTATTATAAAGTAATAGATTACTAAGTATTATATATACGACCCTCGAAAAGCTAATCATGGTGAAATTAGTTCAATTGATAAAAATATATATATATATATATAATTAAATTACTCAATTTGGTATAAATATATAATGCAATATTAAAATATATTATATTATATTTAAAAATTCAATTTAATTGTTAATAAAAAGTATTAGGATTAATTGTTGAATTATATATTAAGAGGTTGGGAATGCATAATAAATCTATAAATTAATGAATTTGGTTGTATTTCAATTTATAATTTTAAAATAAATTATAAAAATTATCTACTAAATTATTATATTAATAGTCTCAAATCAATCTAATTAGCTTATTACAGTAATATAATTCTTACATAAAAATTATTATAGTATTATATTACTAATGCTCTGTAAAATAAACATTCATTATAAATTACATATTATATAGTAACATATTTAAGTATATTAATATTAGTTAGTTATTAATAATATTTTCAAGTCAAGTGTTTGACGATATTAATATGACATTTGGATTAGGAGTCATCACACTTGAATTCTAAATGCATTTATTTTTATAAAACGCAAACTCAAACGCATCTTAAATTTGAAGTAAGTTTTCAAATTTTATCGTATTTATAGGTTATCTAATCATCTTGTTCGATCATTTTATTATATTAATATAAATAAAATTATATTTATATTTATAAAAAATTAAATATATATATATATACCTAATTAATTTTCGACATATTTTAATAGCCAAACTCAAACATGCATCTGCCAAGCAACTACCTTCCCACTAATTTGTACTTGGGCCTATTCTAAAGTCGTTATTTAATGAATAAAATGTTGTAAATATGGTTTGAATGTCATGTTCAGTAGGTTCAAACTATAATTATCATCACAATCATATTAATATTGCATAATCTACAAGGCATTTATTATTTCTAAGTGAATTATAATGAATATAGTCAAAATAAGCAGCTTATAGTAAATGTTTTATTCTAATATTATCATGAAATTCTTAATGAAAATATATTAAAAATATAATAGAACAATAATTATCCATTCATGTTTTATCCAATTTACTTATTGTACGCACTGTTATTAATAATTTTATCGATTTCATCAC